GCCATCATGGTGAACCTAAGCCCTAAACCCGAAGCCCCGAAAGCCCTAAACCCCTAAACTCAAAGCCCTTAGCCCTAAACCCCTAAAGCCCTAAACCCCTAAACCCCTAAACCCCTACACACTAAACATCCCCTAAACCCTAAACCGAGACTGACTGGTTGCACCCCTTTAGCTTGCAGACTGCAAGGTCGGCGTCGAGTAGTCTGCGCAAGCCTAGTTGGGTTTAGGGTTTAGGGTTTAGGGTTTAGGGTTTAGGGTTTAGGATTGAGGCCCCGCCCCAGAAATCTAAACCTCAGCCTATCCTAAAACTGGGTAGTTGTCAAAATTATGGTCCCTTTTGGGGTACCCTAAATAATAGGTGCCGTATTATAATAAGGACCCAAAAAGGGACCATAATTTTGACAACCACCCAACTAGATGTTTCAACCCCAAACGGTTACACCGTGTCGAACCAGACTGATGCGCAAATCGCACCTCCAGCCCGGACTCCTACAGCAAGAAACCTGAATTCAAGAGATGCGCTCGTAACATGAGAGAAGCCCTATAGACTGTCTGGTGCTTAGTAGGAAATGGGGGAATGGATCCCTATGATAGTCCCTTAAGGTCCCTTACAGTAGTCCCTAGAACCCATTCCCCCATTCCCTACTAAGCACCAGACAGTAGAAGCCTGCGCCCCGTGAGCACCCTAAATCCTAAACCCCAAACTCCCTCCACTCATTCGAGGTTGGGATTCAACTTTCAATTCAAGTCCCCTGCTCCAAGCTGTTTCTGATGTCTTCTCAGGGTTACACTGTTTCGCGGATCAGCGGAGTTAGTAGGTAAAGTCATTATGAGCACCTTATAAGAAAGTAACTGCTGCCAGGCTAGTTTGTTATGTCTTGTTTCTAGCCCTAGTTACTACGTCCTGCGATCCTATTAAGCACCCTAACTCTTGTGCCCGAAAGGTTATCACTTCGATGTCTTGCCTCGGTCGCAAGATATCTCACGATGCTAGGGCCTAACCTACTACAGGTTCTAAATACAGTGTGATCCGTCACATACCCGCAGCAGGGCAGCAATTGTAGCAAGTGAAATCACCTGCGCGAAGACCCGAGACACCACACCCCTCAATTCGAGACCTCAACGCCAAGTTGCGTAGGGCGTAGCACTTTGTCAACCCGCTAGAGCCTATCCCTGAATACTGAAACTTGAATCAGGCTTGGCCCTAAATGGGTAGTTCTCTAAATTAGGGTCCCCGTTTAGATGCCCAATATTGTACGGCACCCTTATAACAGGGACCCTAAAGCGGATCCTAATTTAGAGAACTACCGAAATCCTGAACCACCAGTTTGCGATCCGAAGCGATTGTAGTTCACACCCCCACCCCCCCACACCCCCCATGTCTCAAATGGCATGAAAGGCCAGTCTCTCTCAGCTTCTCGTGAGTCGTTAGGCAGTGCAGGGCGCGCCTCGGCTTTTAGTCTGCAATCATCCCTGAACCCTAAACCCTAAAGCCTAAACCCTAAACCCTTTAACCCTAAACCCTAAACCCTTTAACCCTAGACCCTAAACCCTAAAGTCTAAACTCCTAAACCCCAACACCCCCCCAAAAAAAAACTCATAAGAGCTGAATGAAGGCAACCTCGAAAGCCTTGAGGACCCTGAGCTCTTACCCCGAACCCTAATTCAGTCGGTTTAGGGTTTAGGGTTTAGGGCTTAGGGTTTAGGGCTTAGGGTTTAGGGTTTAGGGCTTAGGGTATAGGCTTCGGTCGCCGAAAAACGTTCCAACCGAAACCCTGAAAGCTGCTTTTTGATTCGGTTCCCTGGGGCTTTTGGTGCTCTTAGGGTTGAAGGTTTCGGTTACAGAGTTACAGAGTTTAGTACCTTGCGGGCTCCAGGACTCGATGTCAAGGTTCGGGCTTCCTGGGTTCTGAAATGCTTCTCGGTTTAGGGTTTTGGGGTTTAGG